TACTTGTGTTTAGGGATGGCTTTGTATGTGTGCGTAAATGTCCGAGATGTAAAAGCGCGCGAGTGTATGTTCTTGTGTGAGTGTTGAGTGAAAGTTGTAGCAGAAGAAATTCTTGCACTTTACGAGTACCTCGGGGGCAAGATCGCCAAAGGAATTGGCGGCAGAAATCAGATCTGTTAGTGACTTAGAAGTCAGTGGGAGCGTCCGCGGAATATTAAGTTCGAAGTAAAGGAAATAAGGTGCATTTTTCTAGATTTTTTTTACAAAGCCGTTGTGCAAGTGTGAAGACCGTTAACGAAAGAACGGGTTGATTACGTAGCAATTCGCCTCAACTATACCTCTTCAAAAGCCTGCTAAACTTGAGGTGAGTCCGCAATTAAGTAACTGGGTTTTTTTTGGTTTTGTTGTTTGTGTGTGTGTGGTCACCTTGACCGAGAAAAAAGGTTAAATTAAATGCAACTGCATAAATTGAAGCAAAAAAAATGGTTATTAGAATGAATTCGAAATAAAAGTAATTAATATTAAAATAAAGTCAAAATAAATTAAAATTATAATTAAAATTAAAATTAGATTGAAATTGAATAAAATTTAAATAACTAAGACTAAATTAAAGTTAAATATTTAAAATAAAATTAAGTTAAAATAAACAAGAGGGAATTAAAACAAATGAAATAAAATTAAAATAAATAAAATTAAATTAAAATAAAATTAAATAAAATTAAATTCAATTAAAATTAAGTTAAAGTTAAATTAAATTAAAATAAGTCAAACTAAAATAAATTTAATAAATTTACAATAAATACAATTAAATTAAAATAAAATGAAAGTACATTAAATTAGAAATTTAATGAAATAAAACCAAAAATTAAAATAAATAAAAGTAAATTAAAGTTTAATTAACTTAAAGTGTACGTTTATAAAAGCAGATAAAAGGGTTCACACATACACATACATGCTAACCGCTGCGACACCAGTGAGTAATAGGAACCTCAAATTTTACAGGTCCCCACTAGGCAGGGGTGACACTAGGGCCTCAAAACCCGAAAGTTCCCACTTACGCGCTTGTACATATCAACAATAAGCCAATATTCAAAACCAGCTGATAGCCCTGAGTACATGAAATAGGTCAGTGACCGCAGGGAAAGAAGTAAAGGAATAAAAGTGCAAAGCGACAGAGGGATACATTGTGGACTGCGAGAGTGACAAAAGAAAGAAAAAAAAAACTACCAGGGAAACAGATTTGGAGCAGTGCAGCTTTCCAAGAAGGAGAAGGCGAACAGGAGAGCTGACGAGTGTTCGCACATAAATACACACATACATATAAATCGATCGCCAACTTCGAAGCGCCGGACCACACTCTGGAAGTGGTTTGACAGGAGCTTTCAGGTGCTCTTGTCTCGGCTCTCTCCGCGCTCGCGCGGCAACGAGTATCACACGTGGCTACCCAACAACTACTTATTTAAGTTTCTTTAGCTTTTTTTGTTCCGATGATTAATTATTCTTTATACGTATGAAATCCTTTCTTTTTTTTTGGTTTTGGTAGGATGAATGTAGATAAGGAGGCGTTATCCTTTTAATAACTTTTATTTGTAATCACATAGTTAGTAAAGATTAGTTGAAGCGATAGATAAACTTTTTTTTACTACTAAGTTTTATCATGAAACTCACTCACGAATGTTCAAGAATTCCTTAATCATTTAATTGCGCAGACTAGTAGAATAACTCCAGGTTATGGTGGATTGTTTTTTTTATTTTCTAATTATTTTTATTGAGAATTTTAGTTATATTTGCTGAAAAATAGTGTAGCTTCTTGATTTTGTTCCTCCTCGTAGTTTTGTAAGTGATAGAATGAAGGCTATGATAGTGAAGAAACTAAGAAAATAGAGTCATAGTATTCCATGAATGTCGGACACTGGAATTATAGTATATATGCGTTGTCCCTTTCCAATTTTTCTCGTTTTCAGCTAAGCCACTCACTGGATGTAGGCGCCTTCATCACGGGAGAGCTTGGTGAGTAATAAATTTCTACATATTTATGTATATATACATAAGTACACATCTTCATGTCTATTTATGCAAAAAAAAAAAAAAATTCAGTAGCTTGATTTTATATACTACACGCCATTCATGAATGCTAGGTTCTCTTTGCTGATAATTTAAATACAGTGGAGGCGAAATTAAGTGTCCACCGATAAAATTGTATGAATTTTAATTGAAAATATCTTAGAATTGCTATCGCTATTGTTCAAGTAAAGGTCAATTGATACGTATGTAGTTCTGAGATTTTGAATTATTTTTGATATACACATACTTATATTTTAAACGTGATTGAATTTCAGATACTTTGGGTTTTTTTTGCTCTTAAAAGTATAAGAAGAAAAAAAAAAGGAATTTTTGATAAATTTCTTTCAATTGTAGTAGTAGTAAGTAAGCTT